AAGAGAAAGAAATAAAAACATCCAAATTGGAAAGAAATAAGTAAAATGATCATTTGCATGTTCTATGTAGAAAACCTTAAAGATTACACACTTATACAAAGTGTTAGAACCAATAAGCAAATTTAGCAAAGTTGCAAGATACAAAGTCAACGTACAAAAGTCAGTTGTGTTTCTGTACACTAACAATGAAAAATTCAGAAAGGGAAACAACTCCATTTACAACAACATCAAATAGAATAAAACACGAATTAACTTAACCAAAGAGATGGAAGACTTGTACAATGAAACATACAAAATACTGCTGAAAGAAATAAAGACGACATAAATAAACAGAAGGATATCCTATGCTCATGGATTGGAAGACTTAATATTTTTAAGATATCTATATTACCCAAAGCAATCCAAAGATGTAATGCACTCCCCATTAAAAACCAATGGCATTGTTTTACAGAAATATTTTTTAAATTCTAAAATTTGTATGGAATTCAATGAACTCTGACTAGCCAAAAAAATCTTGAAAAAATAAGAACAAAACAATCGTGAAAAAGAACAAAGTTGAAGGACTTCCTGATTTCAAAACGTACCACAAAGTTACAGTGATCAGACTAATGTCTTTAGGTTAGCGTGGTACTAGCCTAAAGACAGACAGACCAATGGAATAGAAATAAGCCCTCGCATATATGGTCAACTGATTTTCAACAAGGGTGACAAGACCATTCAATTAAAAGGACAGTCTTTTAAACAAACAGTGCTGAGAAAACAATATCCACATGCAAAAGGATGAAAGTGGATTCTTACCGTATACAAAAAATAAAGTGGATGAAAGTTCTAAATGTAGGTACTAAAACTATAAAACTCTTATTAGAAAACATGGAGGAAAAGCTCCACGACATTGGGTTTGGCAATGAATTTTTGGATATGACAGTAAAAACACAGCAACAAAAGAAAAAATAAATTGGACATTAATATTAAAAATTTTTGTATATCAGAGGATACTATCAGCAGGATAAAAAGGGAACCTACAGAATAGGAGAAAATATTTGGAAATTATATATATCTGATAAGGCATTAATTTCTGGAATATATGGAGCTCCCCTACAACAGAACAACAGCAAACCAATCCAATTCAAAAATGGGCAAAGGACTTGAATAGACATTCCTCCAAAGAAGATATATGCAAATGACCAAAAAGCATCTAAAAAATTCTCACCAGCATTAGGAAAATGCAAATCAAAATCACAATGAGATACCAATTCACACCCATTGAAATGCCTATGATAGAAAACAAACAAACAAACAAAGAAACAAAAACAGAAAATAACAAGTACCAGCAAGGATGTAGATAAATTGGAACTCTTGTGCACTGCTAATGGGAATGTAAAATGGCAAAGCCACTGTGGAAAACAGCATGGCAGTTCCTCAAAATCCTAAACATAAAACTACCATATCATTTACCAATTTCACTTCTGAGTATATTCGCAAAAGAATTAAATGTAGTGGTTTGAACAGGTATTTGTACATCAATGTTTATAGCACTGTTATTATAGCCAAAAGGTGAAAACAATCCAAATGTCCTTTGACAGATGAATAAACGAAATTTGCTTGTTGGTTCTAACAGTTTGTATAAGTGTGTAATCTTTAAGGTTTTCTACATAGAAGATGTTGTCAGCCTTAAAAAGGAATGAAATTCTGATACATTCCACAACATGGATGAACCTTGAAAACATTATGGTAAGTGATATAAGTCACACATAAAAGGACAAGTATTATATGATTCTGCTTATATGAAGTACCTAGAATAGAAAAATTAATAGAGAAAAAAATTAGAATAGTGGTTACCACAGGCTGAGGGGAGGAGGTGGGTAGTTTTGTTTAATGGGTTCAGAGTTTCAGGTTGAGACGATGAAAAAGTTCTGAAGATGTAGAGGTGTGATGGTTGCACAATAATGTGAAAATACTTAATGCCACTTAATTGTATGCTTAAAAATGGTTAAAATAGTAAATTTTATATTGTGTATATTTATCACAATAAAAAGTCAATGTCTTGAAAGATAAAAAAGGCTGTAGAAATGAATCAAATTAAAGAAGAATACAAAAGCAATTTAAAAGTTGAATAAAATGTTAACAATAGGAGAATCTGAGTTAAAGTTACAACAGTTTTATTCTTGCAGCTATTCTATAAAGTTATTTCCAAATAAAAAATTTTTTAAAAATGAAGAAAGAGATTAAAAGAATTCAAAACAAAGTGACAAATAAAGACTATAGGCAAAGAAGATCCAACATAGCAAAATAGCATAATAAGAGTCCCGGGGAAAAAATGTAACAAACACTAAAAATTATAATTTTAAAAAATTCCTGAAATAAAATTGAATTTACATTGTGAAAGGGAATATAATTTACTAAGTGTATTAACCCAGAATGACAAACACAAAGATAAAGTCCAGTAAAACTGCTATATTATAAAGAAAGTGAAAAAAACTCTAATCAGGCAAAAAGATCAAGTGATTCTTAGGGAAAGAAAACTATATTATAACCAGCCCTTTGACACTTTATGCTAAGAAAAGAAAACATGAATAAAGTATCTTAGACCCAGGAAAAATTTATTTTCAACTATAAAGATGACCATCAATCTGTTATTAACATTCAAGGACCCAGAAAATATTGTTTGATGACCAATTCCTGAATAATCTTCTGGAAAACGGGCTTCACACCACCTAAATGACAAGAGAGAAACTGACATAATAACTGAGAGTATCAGTAAATATCTATTTACTTAAAGAATAAGATTCAATCACGGATAAAAGAGAATATGTATAATACCTACATAATCCCTCACAATATAGATAACAAAAGGAAAAAGAATAGGAAAGGCGTAATAACCCCAAATTTTATTATTTTTGTTTTTATTATATTGGTATTTTATTCTAAGACTTTTGTGGGTAAAATGTGGGATAATGTAAATTAGTAATTATGTCATACTCTAACATGTGTGTGTAATTGGGCACCAGAATTGCCAGTAAGGAAAAAAGAAAATACAAAAGTAAAATACAAGATTATCAAGTGAAAATCTTATGGAATTTGAAGTAACAGAATAAATAAATAAAATATTTTATCTGTAGATAATATATGCATATATCTGGATTTGTTGTTGTTTTTTGTTTCTTTTCTTTTTTTTTTTTTTGAGACCGAGCCTTGTTCTGTCACCTAGGTTGGAGTGCAGGGGCGTGATCTCAGCTCACTGCACCCTCCACTTCCTGGGTTCAAGTGATTCTCATGCCTCAGCCTACTGAATAGCTGGGCTTACAGGTGCTCTCGACCACACCTTACTAATTTTCATATTTTTAATAGAGACAGGGTTTCACCATGTTGGCCATGCTGGTCCTGAACTCCTAGCCTCAAGCGATCCACCTGTCTCAGCCTCCCAAAGTACTGGGATTACAGGCATGAGCCACCGCACTTGGCCTGTTTTGTATATATGTATGTATACGTATATGTATATGTATATGTATATGTATATGTATATGTATGGGAGTGTGTGTGTGTGTATTTTCTAACCATGCTCATTGAAAAGGTCTAGAATAGAAGACCAACCTAGTAGCAATGTGTATTTTTGCATCCAAATTTTGGTTTTGAATTACCATTTTCCAATAAACAGAACCAAAGCTTCTCAGAGAAAAGGTTAGTTCCAGGTCAGAGCAAGAAATATTCAAAATGAGCTTAACCCCATTAAAAGTGGGCAAAGGATATGAACAGACGCTTCTCAAAAGAAGACATTTATGCGGCCAACAGACACATGAAAAAATGTTCCTCATCACTCGCCATCAGAGAAATGCAAAGCAAACCACAATGAGATACCATCTCACACCAGTTAGAATAGCAATCATTAAAAGTCAGGAAACAACAGGTGCTGGAGAGGATGTGGAGAAATAGGAACACTTTTGCACTGTTGGTGGGATTGTAAACTAGTTCAACCACTGTGGAAGACAGTGTGGTGATTCCTCAAGGATCTAGAACAAGAAATACCATTTGACCCAGCCATCCCATTAATGGGTATATACCCAAAGGATTATAAATCATGCTGCTATACAGACACATGCACATGTATGTTTATTGTGGCACTAGTCAGAATAGCAAAGTCTTGGAACCAACCCAAATGTCCATCAATGACAGACTGGATTAAGAAAATGTGGCACATATACACCATGGAATACTATGCAGCCATAAAAAAGGATGAGTTCATGTCCTTTGTAGGGACATGGATGCAGCTGGAAACCATCATTCTTAGTAAACTATTGCAAGAACAGAAGACCAAACACCACATGTTCTCACTCATAGGTGGGAATTGAACAATGAGAACACTTGGGCACATGAAGGGGAACATCACACACTGGGGCCTGTCGTGGGGTGGGGAGAGGGGGGAGGGATAGCATAAGGAGATATGCCTAATGTAAATGACTAGTTAATGGGTGCAGCACACCAACATGTTACATGTATACATATGTAACAAACCTGCACGTTGTGCACATGTACCCTAGAACTTAAAGTATAATAAAAAATTTTAAAAAATAACAACAATGAAAAGACACTTTGATATGATATGGTTCTTTTTACTCACACGTGCCTGGCACATAGTAAGTGTTCAATAAACTTTTGCTAAGTGAAAAAAAAAATGAACTTAAAACATCTTGTTATGCCCAATAGCAAACATGACAGATTTCAAAAAGTGGCTGCAAAAATATTTCCTGTTTCACATACTTTTATCCAATGTGACCTTGCTACCAATAAGTGGACCTTTTTCTCAACTCCTTTTAATTTGGGGGAGTTCTATGACTGCTTTGATGAAAAAAGGATGGAGGAAGAGACCCTATCCCAGTTCCAGCAGTAGATCTTAACTGGTCTAGAAGCTTGCATTTTATACCTCTCAGAATGTTTGCTCTTGGAAAATTCTATCTTGGAACCCAGCTACCATTCTATGAAAAGCCAAGCCATCTTAAGAGGTCATGTGTAGGTGGTCAGTCCCATTGACAACCTCAGATGAGCTCCCAGCCAACAACCAGCATCAACTGCCAGTCAGGTAAGTGAGTCCTCTTATTTTCATTCAGCCAAGTTGAACTTTTGGATGACTACACCCTCAACTAGCAATTGACTACAAATTTATAATATACCCCATGGTAGGCAGAAAACGTCTCCCAAAGATGTCAATTTCCTAATCTCCATAATCTGTTAATGTTATGTTACATGGCAAAGGGCATTCTGATCGCTAATCACCTGACCTTAAAACAGGGAGGTTATTCTGAATTATCAGAGTGGGCTTAATGTGATCACAAGAGTTCTGAACAGTGGAAGAGGGAGGCAGAAGAGGAGTGTGGTGTGCTGGGATGTGAGAAGGATTAGGCCTGCCATTGCTAGTTTTGAAGATAAAAGAAAGACAGCATAAGCTAAGGACTATAGGCAGCTTCTAGAAGCTGGAGCAGGCAAAGAAACCGATTATCTCCTAGAGCCCTGAGAAAGGAATACAGCCCTGTCAACACTGTGATTTTAGCCCAGTGAGATACAATTCTGATTTCTGACCTCCCAAAACTATAAGATAGATTTACATTGTTTAAACCATTACATTTGTGGTAATTTGTTACGGCAGTAATAGGAAATTAATATAGGCCCCAAGTGAGAACTACCCAGTAGAGTCCAGTCGACTCATAGAAACATGAGAAATAATTTTTTAAAATGAAGTTTGAACCACTAAGTTTTATTGCAGAGCAATAGATAACTGGAATAGCAAGGGAGTTACCAAGTCTATTAGGCTATCTTAATAGAATTCATGAGCCAAACTGAAAAGGTTTCCATTGGGCAAAGGGGGAATAAATGGAGCATCAGTAAGGATAACACTTTAATAGAGTAAATGATCAAATACATTTAAATTCATAACTTCATAAAGATACAACAAAACTGATCAACTTTGTAGGATGTGAAAGAATAAACTCATTATTTGTAAAACTGTTAAGTAAAAAAAAAACAAAAACAAAAACAAAATGTAAACACTTACTTAGCCTACTCCTCTTATACTATCAAATACCAGAAGAGGAAAATTTTTTCTTTATATAATTTTTCTAGGTAATAAAGGAAAGAGTGATTGAATTTGAATATATCTCTACCATGCAATCTGTAATTAATTAATGGACTTAGGCATTGAGAATTAGTGGCAGCAAAAATTGCAAAAAGAGGTTCCATCAGACAATATGCATATCCTGCTGGGGGAACACACCACCACAATAAAGCAGCCTTGGAAAAAAGAAAAAAAGAGAACGACCTGAATCTTATGTCTGATAAAGCCACTGGGTCAACTACCAATTTATGGCAAACACAAAGAACACAGGAGAGAGGAATATATTAAACTATTAATACACCAAAAAGATAAAGTCAACAAAATCCAGCAAAGGTAATTCTGCATATAAATTTCTTTGTTTCTTCAAAAAATAAAATGCAAAAGGGGAAAATGGATGGAGGGGGAAAACCTGTAAATTAAAAAACACTCAAAAGACATAATTTAAAGCTAAAAGTAAAGTATAGCATTGAAGGATGTTCCCTTTGATAATACAATTAAAAAGATAGAGTTAAAGGGTCTAATCCTGGAGCACTTCAACATCTAGAGATGGATAGAGATGGAAGAGTCAGAAAAGGAATTGAGGAATGACCAGAGAAGCAAGAGGTAAAGCAGGCTGGTATCATAGAAGCCAAGAGAAAAGCATGCTCTGAGATGGGGAAGTTGTCAACTGAATCAAATATCATGAAGTCAGTAAGACGAAAATTGAGAAGTGGTCATCAGATTTGCCAACACACAGTTCATTGGTGACCTTGCTGAAAGCAGTATCAGAGGAGTTGAAGGCAAAGCTAAATCAAATGAGTGACAGTAACTGGAAGATGAAAAGAGACATATAATGGCTATTGGCAACTCTTTAAAAATGTTTGCTTGAGAAGAGGAGCAGAGATACAGCCTGGTAGCTAGGGGACAATACAGGGTTAACGGAGATTTCTTTTTAAAGTGGAGTTTATTCTAGCATATTTGTATGCTGAGAGAGAGCTTGAAGATATAGAAGAGAAAAAGAATAAACAAAAAAGAAAAGTTCTTGCGGAGTTGAGATGGGATGAAACCCAAAACACACATGGAAACATTGATCTCTGATAGAGGGAGGGTTGCTCCATCTGCCAGAGGATGCAAAAGGTAAATGCTCATTTGGGTATACTTGCAGATTTGGCGGTAGGGAGGTAAGGGAATTTCTACCAGATGGATTACATTCTTTCCTTTCAGGTTGAAACAAGCCCATCATCTTCAAAGATGTGGAGCTGTATCAGGATATCCCATTTGTTAACCATGGGATTGAGGTTAGTGGTTTTTAATTTTTTTTGGACCATTACCCACTAATAAATGTATTTTTCTTATGACCCACTATACACAAACACAGGTAATTGAAATAAAATTTCATGGCCCAGTGCTTACTCCTATCAGGTATGTTCTCTGTTCTTTCTTTTTCAAGCCTACTAGTCTAACTAGACTGGCAAGAGTCCAGAAATTGGCTAACAAGATTATTTCCAATGCACTTATATACTAAAATATTGTTTTTCATAATTTTCTAATTTTTTAAATTTTATTGGGAATTTATAGTATTACCTATTACAGTATATAAATAAAACACTTATGTAAACATTAAAGGACAATCAGACAGATCCTATACTCACTACCCTGGTTAAGCAATAAAATGTTTTCAGTAACATGGAAGCCCCCACTCCCAACTGTCTCTCCATCTCTGAGAGGTAATCATTACCTTGATTTTACTTTTAACCATTCCATTTTTCTCTATTATTTTGCCACTTATGCATATATCCCTAAATAATATAGGTTAGTTTGTCCTGCTTTTGTACCTTAGATAAATATAATACTACACCGTGTGCATGTTCTTGTATCTGGCTCCTTTCACTGAATATTATGTCCATGATGCTATTTTATTCATTTTCGTTGCTGAATGCAATTCCGTATTTGAATATACTACATTTTTTATATTTGTTTACTGTTGATGAACATTCTGCTTGTTTTCATTTGGGAATCCTAGTTTATGTCCTCCTACACACATGCAGGAGCTTCTCAAGAGCATCTATCTTGCAGTAGAATTGCTGGATCAAAGAGTATGAATACTTTCAACTTTATCAGACAAGTTCAAATGCTTCCAATTTACACTCCCACTACCAGTAGGCGTTTCCCATCGTTCTATATTATCACTACTTGATATTTTTAGATTTCTTGACACTATTGCCAATCTGGTGGGTATGTATTGGCAATTCATTGTGGGCTTTAATTGGTACTTCTATCCTTTCATATGTTCATTGGCCATTTGGATTTCAGATTTCTTTATTCAATTTTGTTTCATTAAAAAATGCTAATTAGAGTTGATCTTTGACAAATTTGAAAAACAAAAAAAAGCAATGGGGAAAGGATTCCTTATTCAATAAACAGTCCTCGGAGAACTGGCTAGCCATATGCAGAAAACTGAAAGTGGACTCCTTCTCTACACCTTATACAAAAATGAACTCAAGATGGATTAAAGATGTAAATGTAAAACCCCCAAACCATAAAAATCTGAGAAGAAAATCTAGGCAATACCATTCAGGACAAAGTCACAGGCAAAGATTTCATGATGAAAATGTCATAAGCAATAGCAGCAAAAGCAAAAATTGACAAATGGGATCTAATTAAACTAAAGAGCTTCTGTATAGTAAAAGAAATTATCATCAGAGTGAACAGAGAACCTACAGAGTGGGAGAAATGTTTTGCAATCTATCCATCTGACAAAGGTCTAATACCCAGAGTCTACAAGGAGCCTCCACATGTCAGTCGATTGTTCTCAAAATGGTGGTGCTATCCCTCACAGTACTATCACCAGCTACTAGTCTGTTGGGAAAACGTAAAGGGGATGATATTCAGCTGGAATCTGAGTGTGATCTTCTGGACATCCGTGTGGATGTTGATGTTGGGAAGGATCTGTGGACTCTGAGGAATATCGGTGTCATGCTGTTTAGACGGGGTATGCTCTGACATGGCAGGGCTTTCTTGGGTCTATGTCTGAGGCGCCACATCAAGCAAACTGAGGACCCATAAAGGAACACTGTAGCCCTGGGAGACACCGTAAGGATAACAATAATGCTCACTACTCCCTAGCGCTTGTTAAACACTCCTTCCTCTCTTTTTATGAGATGTTATGATGCGGCAACAAGAAGGGTGTTAGAATGAATTTTGGAATGCAGATAAGGATATTGCCCATAGAATCTTTTGTGAAGATTTATTCTAACAAGGCTGTACTTGTATTTTTTATTTCCATGATGTTGAGGACAATAATAAAGTCAAAGATTCCACTAGATGGACACGTCTTTTGTTTGTTTGTTTGTTTGTTTACATTATTCCAGTAATTGCACGGAGGCTGCAACCCTTGCGAGGCAGGTGGGAAATGTCAGGGAGCTGCAATAGAGAGAAAAAGGAGTGGGAGTAATCTTAACGGTAACAATGGCAACTTTCAACAACACTAACTTGTTATTCTGCTTGAAAAATCATTTTTTAGAAATAGTCAAATATTTATGTTTGAGTTTTGTTTGAAATGCTCCTTTTCTATAAAATCATCTAAATATTTAATAATTTGGAACTTTTGACAGCATTCCAAATATTATGAAATTTTAAATATTTCTTCTAAACAATCACACAAATATACATGTTTCCAAACCAAAACAGATATTCCCATGCTTGAAATGCTTTTTCTAATTTCTAATTTATTCTTAAGGGCTAATTTGCAAAATGAAATTGTTTGGATGATTGGTTTGCAGTAAACATGGTGTACCAAATTGGTTTCTAAATTTAGAGAAAGGTTGAGTCTCCTCTTAAAATAATCAAGAAATAATAGAAGTATTAATGATAATGAAGTTTCCATAATTAAAAAGTCAAATTCTTGAATAACAAGCAGAAATGAACATTAGCAGGTAGCAGCTACATAATTTATAATTCTTACAAAGTTATTTTGAGCTCTTTTTATAGGATAACACAACCTCCAACATGCAGTTTGCTAAATTATAGTATAAGTACTTTATGTGCCATAATTAAGTTCCATAATTTGGGGGAATTTAGTACTATTAAATATAACTTAAAGATACAGGAAATATAGTGCATAAAATTCTAAGAATCACAAAAGAAAGGCAAAGTTGTTTTAATAGATGCTATGATTTCTATGTCTGATATTTCAAACATTTTAGAAAGTAGTAATTATTATTATCCATATAAATGTTTTCAAAGAAAAATGCTCTTTACATATAGAATTTGAGGATGAGCTCTATATTTTAAATACAGTAGACTCCATGTCCTTCCTTGGAGGTTTTCGAGGACTAATTTTTGGTAATATCTCTTTGGCATAAAGTGTTCTATGAAGTCCAGCTTCTCGAAGCGCTAACTCGAAGCGAAGTCTAGGGTCAGAAATTATCTGTAGAAATAAAAATACAATTTAAATAGCAATTCATTGAACTAAAATAACTTTTAACATTTAGTTTCATGTTTTCCCAAACTAATTTTTTTTTTTCTGGACAGATGACTAGGTGACAGTAAACTTTGTGAATACAGTGACTATATTTTGGAAGCATCCAAACCTTTTTGACATTATCACTTTTCAGTACTTCAGTGGTTTCCAATGTAGGGTGTATAGAATATTGTGTACTAGATTAGTCAAAATATAATGCCTTAAAATTATTAGAAGATGAAGTAAAAGAAGCTTACTTTCAGTGCTACTATCTATTTATTACTTATTGCTGGCTGGAATTATAAAATACAGATAAGCATTGATTAAAATAAATCTAAGCCACAACCTTGTACATCTGTCTTTAAAAAGCATCTTAATTTCTCCATCATTTGGCAATATGTAAATTAAGCTTAAACACATGGCCACCACTTGAAAAACAAAATCAATAGGACTTTTCTTCCAAGGCTGGGTTTCTATTTCAAACAGAAGTAGAAAATGCCTCCATCAATCTAAGTGGGAATAGACATATGAGTAGTTCAATTTCTGTTTTCATTTATAGCTGATTGGATCTTATTCCTCTTCCCCTCCTCCTATGAATATTAAATGTCAACAGAGACTGTTTGAAATGATAAGAAGGTGGCCACATATGGATTTTACCTAATGAGGCATTTTACATGGATTTGAAGTCCCCCTGGAGGATGCGATAATAAGCTAGTAAAAGCAGCCCCTCCAGGAGCTCTTAGGCGAATTGGGGCAATAAAAATGTAGACAGATAACTACAGATTATGGCAACACGTGGCAGATGCCCTAAAAGTAGTAAAACAAGGGGGAGCATCTCCTGGTGCTGGCGGCATGAGGATGGTCTCAGGTGAAGATGAGCAATTGAACTACCCTTAAAGTCCAACTTAGTCTACAAAGCAGACTGGGGAGGAAGAGAGACCTAATGAGAAAGGAAGATACATACAAACTCAGAGGTGAAATAGGTCAACCTGGGATAAGGGTGGTTTGAGCAGAGCACTGGTTATCATTGAGGAACACTGGAAACAGATGCTTCTCAGACAAGGACTTGAACTTAAAAGGCTTGCATGGCCATGCCGAGTCTAAGGAGCTACTAGGGTATGTTTGTTTCTGGTTTTTGAATAAAAATAATATAATCACTGTAGTTGCATAGGAAGATGGGTCTGATTGTAAGTTCAGAATAAATTAAGGTAGCAGGGAAAGAAGAAACGGAGGCCAAAAGAGTGGTTAGGAATTTACTACAATTGTCTAGACATAAAGTGATAAATGTCTGAACTTGGCTGGTAGCAAGGAAGAGATAATCGTCAGAAACACTATGAAAACAAGAATCAATAGTACTTGGCAGTTGATCAGATACAGGGCTTGGGGCAACAATGAGTATGAAGTCAAGAATAATACAAAGATTTGTGTCTGAGAAGCAACAAATATGAGCCTAAGACCCAGGTTTTTCCTCTTCTGTCTCAATGTCTTCTCCCTGGTCCACTCTCATGTGCTCCAGTGATTCTTGTGCAACCTGTATGCCATTGACTCCCAATTACATCCAGGACTCACCTCTCTTCAGCTCACATTGTGAGGCTTAAATTTTTTTTATTATTCAATTTTTGCAGAGCTAGAGCATGAAATGGAGATCTCGCCACTACTGGGACTTCCATCTTCCCAATTCCCTTCCCCACAGGCAGCCCATCAGTTTCTTGTAAATACGTACTAGATACTTTTACTCTAAACATGGTATAAGTAAAACAAATTCTCTCTTTGCCTAAATCTGTTTTTCTTTCTGTATTCTTATATGGTTAATGGCAGCACCACCAGATGATTATAATTTACTGAATTACTACTAGGTGCCCGGAAATATTTTAGGCAGTGAACATTTATTATCTCTAATGCTCACAAGGGCTTTGTAAGTAATTATTTTACAGATGAGGAAAACAAGGCATAAAGATATAAATAGCTTATACAAGTGCACCCAGCCAATAAACAGTGGATGCGGATTTGAATCCAAAACACCACTCTGGTTGTTTTTTTTTTTTTTTTTTTTTTTGATACGGTGTCTGGCTTTGTCACCCAGGCTGGAGTGCAGTGATATGAGCTCGGCTCACTGCAAGCTCTGCCTCCCGGGCCTCCCGGGTTCACGCCATTCTCCTGCCTCAGCCTCCTGAGTAGCTGGGACTACAGGTGCCCGCCACCATGCCCGGCTAATTTTTTGTATTTTTAGTAGAGACGGAGTTTCACTGTGTTAGCCAGGATGGCCTCAATCTCCTAACCTCGTGATCTGCCCGCCTTGGCCTCCTAAAGTGCTGGGATTACAGGCGTGAGCCACTGTGCCTGGCCAACACCAGCTCTTAATATTACTTGTTGTCTAGCTTAGAATCATCCTTACTTTCTTTGTCCCCTCCCTTTCTCAGCCAGAGCCACTCATGACCCCACCACCACCACTACTTCTATGAAGGCTCTGTTATTTTAAAAGGAACTCACCCCAACCCATGCCCACCCCCACCAATTTTACATTCAGTACACAGAGCTAAAACATAAATCAGATTATAGTTGTGTGTCACATAATGACAAGGATACATTCTGAGAAATGTGTCCTTAGGCAATTTTGTTGTGTGAATGTCATAGCATGTACTTACAGAAACTGGGATGGTACAGCCTTCTACACACCTAGGTTGTATGATATAGGCCACTGCTCCTAGGCTGCGGCCTGTACAGCATGTTACTGTGCTCACGACCGTAGGAAGTAGTAACACAATGCTAAGTACTTGTGAATCTAAACACAGAAGAGGAAATGCATTGTGCTGTGATGTTAAGACACCACTAGGCAATAGAAATTTTTCAGCTCAGTTATAATCTTAAGGGACCACCAACATATATGTGGTCCGTCTTTGACCAAAACACTGTTATGGGGCACATGACTGTATACAATTTAAAGCTCCAAAGTCTGGCATCTGCATACAGATGCCTTAGTAGCAACGCCTACTTGCTACTACTGGTCAAATGCCTTAGTAGCAAGACCTACTGTGCTTTTCACCGCCTGAACCTAACCCGTGTTTCCAGTCTCCTCTCCCAGCACTTGTCGTGTACCCCTTGTCATGTATCTCACATTGAAGACATCCTAGGAAAAGCCTTGTCCCACCCTCTTCCGCTTGGTCAAACCCAGAGGTGAAATAGGTCTCATCAGGATAAGGGTTAGCCCAGCAGCCTGAGACTTTGCAGCTTCTGATTTCAATCCTTTCAAGCCTCAGCTATTCTCCCCACTTTGGCAGCCAGGATCTAGAGACACCTCTTAAACCTTGTAATTAATCCTTCTCCCTATGTATCCTCCCCCACAACCTATTTTTGTTGTTGTTGTTGTTATTGTTATTATTGTAAATCATCTGGAGTGGATTTTGCTTCCGCTTCCAAAAATCTTTGACTAAGATAAGGCTCAGAAGTTTCCTCTCTGACACCTTCTCTGACTTCTCCAGTCAGGGTTAGCCATTCATTCCCTTCTTCTTCCTAGGGCAACCCTTAGACCTTCATTATAGAGTTGATCCCACCCGAGTGGCATTGTTGCTGTACATGCTACTTTCCTTCCCCAGTGGGCTCTTTTGCTCACTTCCTCCAGACAAGATCAGCCTATCTTGCTCAGATGTAGCCCAGGCACCATACACAGAGCCAGAATATAATATATGTTGCATAAATGTTGGTTCAATTAATAAATGAATGACTTATGCCTCTTTAGAGTCCCTAGCAAAGTATGTCACACAAAGTAGAGACATAAGCGGATGAATGGATGGTTTCCTGGTTTTTAAATAATTAAATGATTATTTAGCTTCTCTCCTTAGATTTGTAAAATTGACAACTACTTTCTCTTTTAATTTCAGTGACTGACATATCATCCACTCATCCATCCATCCTTCCATCCATCCATTCATCTGTTCTCCCTCCGACCCTCCATCCGTCAATCCATCCATCTAAAAGATCTTTTAAAAATCCTTTCTCAGTTACAAGCACAGACTAAAATGAACCCTAGGTTCCCAAAAATGGTTAAATAAGCTCTTAACACCTTTTTCTGTAGAAAATGTTTTATCATTAGCTCTGATGTATTATCGTCTGTTCATTTTCATTTCTAAAAGCTTTCCTCTGCTTTGTCATCAATATCAGTTGTTTATTTAATATAATTTATATTATGAATTTAAATATAATTCTTAATGTAACAGAGAAACATTTAAACAACAAAATACAATATTAATACAGAACTCTCAAATAAAATTTTATGAAGCATTTTTTTAATTTAAAAAATAAGTTTCAATGACAGATTTATAACATTTTTAGGTAAGCTCTTGTTCTGTGGTAGCCTATTAACTAGTTTGTAATATTTAGAATTATGTAGCAATTATGTACTATCATTTAGAAGTAAAAATTATGCTAATATGTGTGATATTCAAATGTAAATATTGAAAACTATTGTAACCCCAAACACACACTTCTACAGCCTTTACCATCATCATGGCTTTTTCATCAGTCATGCTAATTTCCATAATTACCTGCTGTTCATTGTATGTATTCAATGTGAAGAGTGGCTTTTGAAGAATAAATTCTTCTTCAATTTCAATGCCCATCCTAGCTTTCGATGCCATTGTATCTGACATCATTCTAACAGGATCAAATTGAGCAACAACAGCAACCTAAAAATGAGAAAGCATGGCTACTTGGAACAAGGTACAAACTAAATATTTCTGGGCAACATTATTGATGTCTAATGCCCATTAAAGTTGGAAATTTTATTAAAGGTAAAGCCTGGGAGAAAAGGGCAGAAAAAAGTATTAATTGGCCAGTCCTAGAGATCCACAAAGGAGTTAACACAAAATAAGACAATACATATAAGACAAAATATTAAAATGCTATGGCATATAGTTATTTGCTAATGATTGAATAATTATAATTAATTTCAGATAACAATTTATCTTTCTGATATGCAGTCACAGGAAATCCTCGTATAGAAAATCTTACATATTCAACCAACTTGAAAGTCATAGAAAGTAAAAAAAAAAAATTCACTTTTTAACCATTAGTAATTTATGGTTATGGTAACAACCCCATGAAGTTTTCTAGGAAGTTTAATCTGATTGACCTAGATCTAGAGCATATAAGTCATGGGTCAAGTCAAGTGTGTTGGCATTAGTGAGCAAGGTGGGTGAATTTCCTTTGTAACAGGCAACTAGATTTCTAGGGACTGCTGTAAACCATTGTCCTCCTTCTACTGAAAAATTGCAAAGTCATTTTAACCCAAATGCCCTTGTCTTTTATAATTCAAACCTGCATCTTAATGAAAAGAAGTCACTAATTCTGTAAATGATATGCACCATTAGTAACACCTGCCTATTAATTCTGAAAGTCAAGAATTAGCATGAAGAAAGTGGCATTCTTAATGCCATTTAAAGACTGTAATAAAATAACTGAGGGTTGAACGTGCTTTAATTATTTTAGGTTTGCTAGCTAAAATAGCTTCCATCACAGTTCTAAATACTGATTATAGATAAGAGATAACAGCTATTTCCTCTTTTGAAGCATTCACAGATGGAAAGAATTCTAATCACAAAGACTGTGTAGTTATCAAAGTTATGTTTTGAACAAGAATGTGTTTAGTAATAGTGACATTAAATCTTGTACCCAGAAGGCCATGGTATATAAATACTTGCTAATGGTTGAATAACTAAAATTTTGTAGGATCCAGGATTACCAGGACTTACATTCCTATGCTTTACATTTATCTTTATAATATTTTTATCAAAGAAGATGATGATATAATAGTTGTATGTATTTACACCACATCTATACCATCTCATTTAGCTAGAGTTCCTTGGTTTGAATCAGTATAACATTTACTAGCTGTGTGACTTTGAGGAAAGCACCTAACCTCTGTGTCTGCTCTGTTTCCTCTCCTATGAAATGGGGATATTAATACTGCCCACATCATAAAGTTGTTATAGAAATTAAAGTAATACCTAACAGCATTTAGAAGAGGACTTTACACTTAGTAAATAATAAATTTGAACTCACATTATTGCAAATCTATAAGACAGATACTATTATTCCCATTTTTCAGATGAGGAAATAAAGTTTACAGAGGTTAAGTAAATGACCTGTTTCCAGTGCTGGTGAGTACAGAACCAGCTTGTACCAGGTTGGAAGGACACCAGACGCCAAGTTCTTATCCATGATTCTGTGTTCCCTCCAGCAACATAGGAGGGAACCAAGTAGCCCTTTCCTATTAGCTGGGAAACGGTGTCAATGAAGATTTTAGAGATTTTGAGTTGAAACAACCACTTCAAGTTCAAAACTCTGAAAAACTACCAAGTAAAACTATCACATTTCCCAAGTTCTCAAATTCTCACCCTTGCCATCTACCATCCATTTTCATCTACTTTTGCTTACTTTCACGAGGCAAAGTGATGGGAGGCTTTTATTTCTCCACAACATAGATATTTTCTAAAAGGTAATTTTTAACACATTTGTTGACTGTGGAATGTTTCCAAAGGGAGGCTCCTGTGCCAAAGAAGATTATCTTGCTCGAGCTCCACCAGGTTTTTTGAGGACAGTAAAATTCGTAGACTAGATGTAGAGCCTCACTGTTGTAAATGGATACTATCCAGCTAATAAACTCTAGGTGATATGATATACTTAAATAGTGGGAGAGCTTTTTAAAAGGTGATGATAAAGTTCTTTCAATACACTGAGAAACTGGAAATGGTTCAATATAATTTAATTGCTCCTAGGAATGAACAGCAGTATCCCAATTTGGAAAAGTTACATTTTATATAGCAGATGCCATGAACTAAGCCCCAGTAAGAATGCTATTAAGAGCACTTAGAAACATTTTTTTTTTTTTTTAAAAACCACCCATGAAAATTTCCAAATGAAAAACACCTGTTTCCTAAGGGCTTCTAGCCGCCTCGCTCTCTCTTTGTCTTCATGAGCTTCTTGAAGGGCCGCTTCCTTTTTCTCCATCAAACGCCTTTCCAATAATTCTTTTCTATATTTAACCCTTAAAAAATAACACAGAAGGAAGTTGTTGAAGCATCATAATAATATTGGAGATTGTACGGAAAACAGCATAGGGGCAGAACACATCTCAGAGGTGACATCACTGTCACATTTTGTTTTTACTTGTTTTTTTAATTGATTTCTCATGTCCAAACCAATAAAAAACACTTGTATAAAATGCAATTCATAGTTTTTGTTTTTGTTTTTTGAGACGGAGTCTCGCTCTGCTGCCAGGCTTAAGTGCAGAGGCACGATCTTGGCTCACTGCAACCTCTGCCTCCCGGGTTCAAGCGATTCTCCTGCCTCAGCCTCCCGAGTAGCTGGGATTACAGTTGCCCGCGACCACACCCGGCTAACTTTCTGTATTTGTAGTAGAGAGGGGGTTTCAACATGTTGGCCAGGATGGTCTCAATCTCCTGACCTCGAGATCCGCCTGCATCGGCCTCCCAAAGTGCTGAGATTACAGGAATTCATAGTAATTCTAATAACAACCAGAGAAATGCAGGAAAATGTGGGAGTAAAATTCAGTTCATCTCATTCCTCACAGAAATCACTTTATTAACTCTTAAAGTACCCACTGGCTGCCTTGGCTCCGACTAACTGCCCTGAGAGGTGACTGGCTTACTTTCAAGTGAGCTATTATAGTGGTCTCCCAATGAGAAGTTTTAGCACACCTTGAGTTGTTAGAAAGTTTACATTACTGATTAAATATACAAATTTTTAGAAGGAAAAGTAAAATAAGCTACTATAATAATGTCTAAATTATTTTACTTACTAGAACTTAAACTTTACATATGTTGTCATCTACATTCTCACTTTCTGAGTAGGTGCATATGTGTGTTAAGCAACTTTTAAAATTGCACTTTGACATCTGTAGATGGCAGCAAAAACATGACTTTCCCTTAGCGTTCTATTTCCAACCCCCTTGAAATCATCAGCTATTAAAATATGGCACACTTAAATACCAGCTTAAAGCCCTGTGCACATTGGCCCTCCTCTGCTGCCTTTTTTGGGCAGCTTCCCTTGCCATCTTCTTGTCCAAGCTATTCTTCTACTGAATTACAGAGATGGAATTCATCCTTTCAAAAGAGTAGGCACCTGGGTTCTCAGGGGAGTATTAGCTCTCCACCTTTGCCTTCCATCATTGACAGTTTAGATTTAGCTTTCTCTGTGGCATCAGTCACAAATGTCCTTTACCCTTAGTGTGCACACCTGCATTTTCCAAGGTGGAGACACCTTCACTAGACCTTTTACCTTCTGGATTCTGATATTTACTGCGTGTTCACCGTGCATCAGGTCTTGTGATAAGTGCTTTACATGTTTTAGCTCATTTAGACCTCACAACAATCATATGCTGGGGTGCCATTTTAAAATTCTATTTTATGGATATAAAGAAAGAGAAGCATAGACATGTGATCTTAAGAGACGTACAAATAAGAGCCACTGAGAATTTGGAGAAAGGTGAGATGACCAATCACTGCATTGTGGGACGGGCTGGCGAAACTTAGCAAGAGCTTCATGGAGGAGGCAGTATCTGAGCAGGGTCTTGAGGATTAGGATTCCAGGCAGAGACAGCAAGTGCAGGGTTGGTATCTGGGAGTGGCCCTCACTTGCCTTGACCTAGTCATGGAGGCCACGAGAGGGGAAGAGCTCAGGGTGGCAAGAAGAGAACAAGTGAATGATGAGTGACAGAGAAGCCCAGGCAAGCACTGGTGGCTGAGGCTGGCGGCCACAGGGTTCCCTTAGGAAGACATGCTTCTGGGGAGGAGCACCCTAGAAACAGGTTGCTCATGAGGCTGTCATGAAAGGAGAGGCACAGGAGAGGAAAGGAGGGAAGCATACAGTGGATCCTTGAGGAATACAAAACCCAGAATGGGATTTAGAAGGAAAATCCTAATCTCCTTTGATGACCATGAGTGTTCTTGACAAAACCAGGAGTCAATATAGTCAAGACACATGGATTAAAGAGCCCACAGACCAGAATGCTCCCTTTCACGCCTCCATGTCATGGAAAGCTCTATTTCTCATTCTCTCCACTTTCACTAAGGCATGACATGACACAACCTCCCTAGTGAGGTTCTACTCAATTTAAGCACTGAGTACAAGCTAAGTGAACTACTGTGAAGGTTCAATTAAAAAATACCCTGGGATTTGGCAATTACCATATGCTAATTCTCAGAACTTTGGAAAGTTTCTCTTCCTTTGGGATATATAGGTTGCTTTGTCTGCAACAAAGTTTTTGTCTGCTTTGTGGAAAAGTAATAGTTGTTACAGTCAGGGAAGCTTGACTAGTGAGGAAGAAATTGCAAATGAGAGAAAGGCATTTGTACTTGTGTGGTAGAGAAGGCTGACTCATCATTTACTCTGAGGCTCATTCATTCATGTAACAGATATTTGTTGAGCACCTGCCATGCATCAAGGGCTGTGTTAGGCGCTGGTGATACAACGTCAACATGGAGACATGCTTCTGTCCTGGAAGAACTGACAATCCAATGTAGATACAATGACCCAGGCAATTATGATACAGGGCAGCTTGTGCTCTGATGGGACAATGGGGCAGAGACCATGGGAAAGACAGCTTTGCCACACTTGGGGCTTTCAGGGCAGTATCTATAATAGGAAGAAGTACTCTGAATTTAAGATACAAAGAAGGAGCAGGAACGCACCAGGAGGGGAGAGAATAGAAAGAATGATTCAGACAAAAAAGTAACATTTGAAGGCCCAGAGGTGAGAGTGAGCAGGTATGTTTAAAGAACTAAAAGAAATTCAGAATAACAAAAAATGAACAAAATAAAGTGCTGAGGACCAAGAATTGAAGCTAGAGAAGCAAGAGGGTCTGGACTGTGAGGGCTTTGAAAGCATGAGGGCTTTTTATCAGGGAGAAAGATCTGCTGTGATATGGAGGATGGGTTGTGGGGAGGCAAGACTAGAGATGAGCAATCCAGATGGGAGTGGAAGGCTTCCTGATCTAGGATGGGGGAAGAGGACTCATAGGAGGTTGGGAAAAGATAGGGATTTAAAGGACATGTAGAAAATAAAAATCAATAGAAAGTTTTCATTTATTTTATGGGAGAGGCAAAGAGAGGAAGTTTTCTGTCTTACACAGTGAACAGTGGTGTTCCTCTCTACGACTGGGAACTTACATTAGAAACAGGGAAGTGAAGGAATTAAGTTCAGTTTGAACACAGACCGGTCTTCACAAGATCTGGGCTGGAGAAATACATGGGGAGTCTTTATCAGTAGAACGGAATTGAAGCCACAAGGCAGATGCCATCATCTAAAACGAGTGTAGAATGAGAAGAGAGGTAGGCCTGGGATTGATTCCTAAGGAAACAACACTTAGGAAAGGGACAGAAGGCGAGGAATCATTTAGGGAAATGAGGAGGATAAGTGGTCTAAGACATTAGGGAAAATGGGGTCAACAACATCAAATGCTATAGAAAGATCAATTCTAGTGCAAAATAATTATTGGGTTAAACAACAGGGAGTCATTGTTGACCTTGGCAAGAACATCCCACAGAGGTGGATGAGGTAAGGTGAGGCAGTAAGAGAGGGTGTGGAGATAAGCAAGTCCTGCAGCAACACTGATGCTAATGGAGAGGGGAGAGACAAGGGGGAGATGGAGGGTGCACAGAGCCGACCACAGTTGCATTGGCTCCAAAGTGATGATCAAGGTTACTCTGACTGCCTCAAGGATTGGCCATGAAAAACTTTCAGGACTTAGGAGACACACTCAATTTCTTCATTTTTACAGATGCTATGGTTTAAACTCAAATAATACTTCACTTTAAAAAGGAGAAACTCTTGGTGCTTCTTTCTTCTACTCTCGATAGAAAATTTTCTTTGCCTAAAGAGAAGTGATGCAGAAAAACTCCTGGGAGGAAGCCAAATACATATTCATGGGGAAAGAAAATAGCAACACAGTAAAGTCAATCATTTGGAAAATTTTCCACATAAATACTTTTAGCCATTTGAGGTAGCAGATTTTCTCCAAATTAAACTGTTGCTATGAAAGTCAATGTCAGGAAGTGGCTAAACTCAATAGTTTTTAAGTTGTGCACTGAATTCCCAAACAGAAACCTTTTTGGGTTCATTTCTCAGTCTATTATATGCTCCCTGAGTCTACAAAGGTTGAAAGTGCTGCAAAAGAGGCATTTTCAACTTCTCTTGGGGGAGGAGAAGCATCATATTGTTCAAAAGTAACAACTGCTGCAGAATCGGGCACAGCACTAACAATAATCTGGAAAGGATTTTATTTAAGCCTCCAGGCCTGAGTGTAGTTGAAGGGACAGTATGCTTTCATGTAGAAATGGAGAATTTATGTGTCATTTTTGAGACTTTTTAATGTGTGCACTGCACTCTAAGAAATGAGTATACAAACGCAAGTGTTTGGAAACACCTTGATCTGTAGTAACAGCTTCCCTGAAACTTCAGTAAGAACCGGGCAAAATAATAAGTACTAAATCTTGACCTCCCTTTTATCTGGAGTCGCAGCTAACTTTCCTCTCAAAAGACGCTACAGCCACCAAGGGGGAAAAAGACTTCTGACAAATGGTCAATAGTGGCAAGTTCTACAATTTAAAACAAACAAACAAACAAACAAAAAACTTAAGCAATAAAACGGAGCATAGAGACATATCTTAATTAGGGTCTCTAACTAGTATGGAACTCCCCCCACCACCTAACATTTCAGGCAAGTAATTTGCCCTACTGAATTAAAGGCAGTTTATAAACAAACTTGCTACTTAGTGTTTAAGTCGTGTGGCTTAGTCAATATGGAACAAGAAATCTTTAAACAGGCACGTGCCGGAGGTGCTACTATCAGGTGTTTCAGCGGCAGCATCATGGGGAACCTCTTTCTGCCTGTTGGGAAATGCATTTTTGGCTCATATTTTACTCAGGAGGTTGTTCTTCCCACCAGGCAGAGGGGACCCCTCTATTAACCACAGGGCACCCCAACAGGGAAGAATGTGCAGATCAAAGCAGGCAGGCCAGGTGCTG